ATGCTATAATGAATAGAACAATTTTCATTTGCTTATCTAGTTCTTTTTATATGTAATGAATTTGTTTCGATCTCATTGGCAGGTGATTACGTAAGTGATTCTTTTCAATAAGCAATTCAATGCGTGAATTGGATTTTGAGGGTTATCACAGATACTTGAAGTCGAGGTTGACATTGACATATAACTTGATTCGAGAGCTTGTCATTGAATTAGTTAGTAATTTCTGTTGAAAATTATCTTAAATAGCAACCTTCTTGCACCTACAAAACCATTTCTAAACCCACATTTCCTTTTTCACTATAGGTATATGGATTAAATAATACCCATGGCGCAACGGATTGCCTACTGGAAAAACATATTTATGTAGGTCACGTTTTCTACGTATCTTGGAGCGGAAACGTGTAGGCTTAGGGTCAGATACGAAAAGTAGGCCTACTGTAAACATCACTGCGACGACTATAAAAGAATCAAATAAATCAACAAATCGATTTTTTTCTGGAGTTCTATTGACTTTTTGCAATTTATTCAATGACTGCATAAACAATAAATTAAAGTAAATATAAAACTCACCAAATTTATACTAATTATAATAATTAAAAGGAAAACGATCAACCTAACCAAACTAATTAAAAATTAGAAAAATAACCCAAATACAACCAAAACATTTAACATTGAAAATATACATTGGCTTTTATATGCCTACCAGAAAAAATCATATACCCGTAAAAATATTTTATAAGCAAAAAGGTAATAAAATGATAAACGCAAAAACCCAAAATTTTAATAAAATACTTTCCCATATCCATATATTTTTGTGCATAGGCCTATATGTGTACAAATGTGAATTTTCTGAAATAAATTTTAAAAGAGCATAGCATATAAAAAAAAAAACCCATAAAAACAGGTTTAACTGTCAATAAGATAATTCCCAAAGTTTTCTAATAATTGTGCATTTGTGATAAAAGAACTGTGAGACTTGGCTAAAGTCCTGTCCACTAACACATTTTATTTGAACAAAACATGCATGACATGCCAAAATATGGTCATGATGACATCACATCATGACCACATATGGGCACATCATGACTATATATAGGCACATCATGACTATATATGGGCATACAACAGTTTTTTGTTCTGGGTTCATATTATTTTTGAGAAAGCAAATCTAGATATTTTAAAGCTGATCGTAGAGTACGGTATATTCTAGAGACCATCAACGAATTTCTAGCGCCTGTTTATTTTTGATTACTAAATTGTATTCAGTTCAGGTGGTTATGGTTGTGTTCTAAGACCACAGATATGTTAGTAAGAGAGGATATTATTGTGGATTTTGGTATTCTGAGTTTGATCAGACAGGAAACAATTGTACAATCCCCTCGAATCGATTGTACAGATCGGTTGCCATATATTGTACAGATATCCGGGTTTGCCTATTACGGTAAATAATAGATACCCATATTTATTGATTCTAATGGTATTTCCAATTTAATAATAATAATAATAATAATAATAATAATAATAATAATAATAATAATGGTATACTTATTTTGAATATTTAATTTACTTGGTCTTAAATTTAATTAGGCATGATTTTACATGCTACCGTATTTCTCTGGTCGGGGGCTAGTTTAGACCAATCACTCTGAACAAAATTTTTGTGGAAACTTATTTTTGCCAAATTAAGTTCATTATCACTCATCACTGGTAGTACAATAAGCATCGTGTACAACTCTAAAGCAGTGGACCACGCAGTTGGGTAGTGGGGCGCGAATCATCCATGGTAATCGTGAATGTTCCATCATACAAATTAAATATTTCAGATTTACGCGTAGACACCTCACATAAAGTATTATGAACGGAAACTGAAGTTGATGACCAGCATAGGGTTTATAATACATTCTCTGTATTAAATTGATTTTCGGTATGATTTAGTTTCGATGTTACTTCTTGAGGTGAACTGCGGACGTGAGCCCAACCATTACCGTATAGATTCTCAGGGTCAAAGTTGACGTCATTACCGATTAGAAGATCTCCCAACAGTTTGGCAATTGAACCTTGCCCTTCCCGATATTATCATCGTGCTTGTATGAATGCTGTTTCAGCATCCCCCCCCCCGCCCTCCATCTTCTCAGGGCCGTGGGAACCGCGCCGGCCCGGCCGCACCGGCTTTGGCCGCCCCAATTCTACTCATATTTTTATTACTTTAACAAATACCTATAAATTATATTCATAATTTTTGCACCTCAATATCATTCGAATGTTTCACCATATACGTGTTTTGTAGTGCACTATTAGCCTATGCATTTCAAGCTCCTCTTATGAAATAATTGAAAAAAAATTAAATAAATAGACCTGTCAGATAAAATGTCTTATAAGCATATAATAAATAAGTGTTTAAAGTTTAATTGAGATAATAATATGTATACTTAAATGAAATAAATAAATAAATAATAATAATTTAATAATTATTATACACCCGAATCAAGGAGCTGACTATAGCCTCTGTCAGGGTCCCGGCATAAAAAAATCCATATGTTCGCGTTGAGGAGTTGTTTTGGGTTTTTTTTACCACAATATTAGAAATTGACAATCAAACGTTATATGGATAGGCAATTAGCATTTTGGTCCCGGACGATTTCGTCGAATAAACACCCTGAGGCGTTTATTGTTGAGAATGGTTTTTGAGGGGAAGTTTATTCGAGGAAGGTGTATATTCGAAGCAGGTATTTATTTTGTTTGTGTAAAATGGATACGTACTGTATTTACTCAAACGCCCCTTAATTCCACTGTAAATAAAATGTAATTCTACTGTAATAAAACTTTAGTAGAAAGTGTTGGAAATGATGTTTCCATTAGATCTGTTTACAGTCAAGGGGAAGTTTATTCGAGGAAAAAATATACGCCACGGGGTGTTTTCGAAAGAGGCGTTTATTTCAACTGAGGCTCCAGAAGGGGTGATTTTTCAAAGCGAAGCGTTTACACGGGTAGAAAATACGGGAATGTAAATATGGCTCCTCCCTGATCCACCCATCATGTTATCAAAAGCCCAGTATACTGTGCTTCATTTCATTACACAATTTCTTTCATTTATTTACAGGACTACATTCATTGAGAGCTATGCTACACGGTGTATTATTATGTCCTTTATTCGGACACTGTATTTACCTTTCTTTGATGATTTATATACATACATATATATAATGTATATTATGTATATACAGTATACTATATATAATATATATAATGTATATTATGTATGTATATATATATATATATATATATAAATGTCATTTATCTTATACAAATCAGGATAGGATGTAGGGAAAATCTAAACCGTCTTTCGAAACACTATATAAATAAATAGATAAATAATAATCTCAGATAGGAACATAAGATGTAATGATCATACCAAATGGGGAGGGTTCGCCTAAAACTCCAGATGTCGTGATGGGGAAAAGCAGGTTGGACCCTAGCTTTGTTATTATAGGACGATACAGGGTCCGATAGAGTATTTGTTAAAATGTTAAGATTTAATATTCGCTTTTAAGTACTATTACAAAAAGATAAAAAAATAAATGTGTATTCAGTATATTTGCGACTGTCTTAAAATTGAACCTTTTTCGATTTGGGGTGAGATGTATTCCTATACCTCATGAAAGTATGAATGTCATAAAGTTTCCAAAAACTGTTTCTAATTTAATGAGATTTATACTTAATTAATCCTACCTTAACACAGATGCCAAAATTTAATAGTTTAAATATATATTTATCACTAGTTCAATCTCTTTTATTTCAGTGCCTCAGGTCAAATCTACCGATCCATCAATAAGTGCGAAGTCGATGTACAATTATTGTCAGTGGAACACGATGTGTATTAAATTGTCGGAACACAAGATGCTATCAATAGCCGGATCTATGTGGTCTTAATTCTACAAATAATCGCGCGCGGATATTTGTTATGATTTATATCACTGGATAGCCGGAATTGAATCAAATTTGCCAATTATGTTTCTTATACAACGAACTAGTAATTCTCGAACGATATTACATACTTAAATATAATTAGGCCTAAGCATTATATATATTATATTGTATTATGTTATATAAAACTAGAATATTTATATTCTATTTGTATTACGTTTATATAGTTCTGATGTAAGAAATAAAAATAAACTTTAGTGTAATTAAAAATACATCATTGTGTGTACTTCCTTTGTCGTAATTGCATTATTAATAATATTATACATTTCAGGATTATTAATCAGTATATAATCGAATTAAATATATTATAATCACTTCGATTCGAGTATAGTACTATTACAAGCTACTATATCTTATAAACACTCTTTCCAAAATATTCACATGACACCAACAAATTAAGAAACTTTTCAGAGCAAGGCGATGTCGAATTTTACAAAACAGGAAATGACGTTGGTTGCTAAGCTACAACTTATGCATATTCAGTAACACCTGTGTTCATTAGACTAACAATAAAAACTTTTAGCTCAGTTTTGACAAAATCGACCAAAAAGATTTTATTGTTAGTCTAATTAGAACAGGTGTTACTGAATATTCATGATTATGCATGAGCTTGTTGCTTAGCAATCACGTCATTTCCGGTTTTATGAATTTTGTTGAGGGCGTCATTGAAGGGACTGTATAATTTTACAAAACAGGAAGTGACGTCGGTTGCTAGGCAACAGCTCATGAATATTCAGTAACACCTGTGCTCATTAGACTAACAATAAAAACTTTTAGCTCAGTTTTGACAAAATCGACCAAAAAGATTTTATTGTTAGTCTAATTAGAACAGGTGTTACTGAATATTCATGATTATGCATGAGCTTGTTGCTTAGCAACTACGTCATTTCCGGTTTTATGATTTTTGTTGAGGGCGTCCTCAAAAGAATTGCTGGTTTAATAGATAAAGTAGCACATTTTGATGAAGCAATTCTTCACTTTTGGTTTAAGCTTATAAGCTTACTATAATATGGATATTTTAGCTATTAAATTTATTACAGTAAACATAGACATTAAATAAGATGAGAAGAAATGCACAATTCCATTTGATATTTATTTTCAAGCATTGAAACCAAGTTGTGATATATACATATATACATTTTATATCTATATACTGTAGGCCTATATCATGTACATCCGGCAAAAATTAATAATCCTCAAAATGTTATATCTTATTATATTACATGTCTATATTCTTTACAACAAACTGGTTACTTTCTCTATTTATAAGATAAACATTAGCAGTAATAATACAATATTAATAAACATAAAGCCTACAAGAATTACTACATGTTGTTAACATAATTTTTTAGATTATTACAGAGGAAAACATTTAAAAAATAAGATTTACACTATACTTTAATTAATTTCATATACAGAATTTTTTTCAGGAAGCTTGATGGGAGACAAATTATTGGCTATCTATGAATAATTAGTAAGTTCTGTTGCCCTTTTACGATTGAGTCCGGACATTCTTTCCTGATAGTTGTGGCTTCTTTGTCTACATCACTGAAATAGAAAAATATTTAAAAGATTAGAAAACAGAGAAACGAAGTATCATCAAAACATAATATAAATAAAAACAGAGCCAGAGCCAGTAGGTTCGAAATACAGGGGCTTACGGGGAGGGACTTTGCCAGATGAAGGGTTCCCACCACCTCAGCCCCATCATGGTTGGGGCTAATGTAAGAAATTTTCGATTATGGCGCCTCTAGATGGCCAGAAATTGCACTCTTAGATTTTAAATCTTTTTTTCTCCAATTTTTTTACCATTGTAAAAAGATTTAGGGTTGCGGGGGGTGGGGGCAGGCCGGTTGTAACACCCCCCCCCCTTTAAATCCGCCACTGAAAAATGAGTGAGCACCCAAACCTGAACATTATCGTATGCAGTTATCGCCATGGACATTGCTGCTGATACAACCTAATAGTACTTCACAATTCTTATCATATTAGCTTTATCATATTAAATATAATTATTTATAGTACAGTATAGTATAGAATGATGTGAGGATTATTAAATACATGGCATTGGGTAAGACTAGATGATCGCAACAGCGCAAACAAATTATGTTAGCATTCAGATTGTCATGGGTAAATAAAATTTATAAAAAGTGTACTATTCGATAGAAATAAATATATACATAGATTCATATAACAGTATATTCCAACAATAAACATAATACTATTACTATAATCTCCATACAAACAGTTTTCATGATATAATATTTTTTGATTAATTGATTGAATGTATTTGATGCTCTACATGCATAATCAAGATAACAAATGGATTGAGATCAAGAAAAGTAAAAATTACCGTAATGAGCATCAGGAATGCCTATTAGGCCGGAGTCCAGCCTATTTCCAATGAGGTCCAATTTAAATATACACAGTGTCTGTCTTGAGCTGAAAGATAAACAATTTAACTCGATAACTGAATAATTATATTTAAGTAAGTTACAAACTTACAATTAAATATATGAATGACAGAATTGTTTTCCTGTCAATTAACTGACAGTTAAATTATACCAGTGCTATATTCTTATTTATACATAGACTCTTTAATTGGCTGGTAGTGTCGATTTAAGTATTTTGTAGTAAAATGTTCGTAAAATTAGGAAAAATTAGAAAAATGTCGATAGGGGGTCCAACAAAGGCATCCCTTTGTTTTTTTGTTTTTTTTAATTATTATTATTATTATTATTATTATTATTATTATTATTATTATTATTATTATTATTATTATTATTATTATTATTATTATTATTATTATTATTATTATTATTATTATTATTATTATTATTATTATTTTAATTATTATTATTATTATTAGGCCTATTGTTTATTATCATTAGGCCTATTATTATTATCATTATCATTCATTATTATTATTTTTATTATTATTATTATTGTAGTCCTATATAAAATGCTCAACTGCTCTGTATATTCGAAGAAAGGAAGCGTGCAACCGGCCACCGCCTAAATTATTCAAAAATTAATTCAAAAATGGAGGAAAAAAAATGAAAATTGTATTCATATATAAATCGTTTCCAGCCATCTAAAGCATGGACCATTGGGGTGACATAAAAAATCCATATGTGAAGGTCCCGTCCTGGATCCCCTCTATTTCGAATTTCTGGATCCGTCACTACAGTGCCGGTAGTAGCTTTATTTGATATCTACATCATGGCAGTACACATTCATGAATATATTAATATCAATATTGATAAAGACGGTGCCATTTGGGCCTACTCCGATCACTTTCACTGTCCTTCAAAAATAATATAGAAAAATATTTTTGTCGGGCTATAACAAATTTCGATTATTCAGGATTAAAGGTTGTGTACCAGTGGCGTAGAAAAATATTTTTTATTGGGGGATGATTGGCGTGTTAGCCAGTGTCGTAACAGGCGCAGGGGGAGGGGGAAAAACTACCCCTCCCCTGACGGTTTTTACCGGGCTGACCAAGCCATCGTACCGGGCTGGGTAATAAGAGAAAAGAAAGAGGAGAGAGGGAGAGAAAGAGAAAGAAGAGGAAAAGAAAAGGAAGAAAAAGAGAAGAGGAAAATAAAGACAAGAATAAAAAGGAAGATATCATAATGACCAGACTCACAACATGAACACCCATGTAACCCCTTCTCCACTTCAAAAACTGTCATAACTCCTTTGATCTATGCTGCCCGATGGCGTAACCACTGGTGGACAAGGAGAAAATATCTATCTTTGAAAAATCTTCCCCACCCCTTTATAAATGCACTTTCATCCCCTGAAAGTGTCTAAAAACCTCAAATTTCGTGCGCATTTCTTGTTAACATGGCCCAATTTCCTCTAAAAATTGCATATTTTAGGGAGTTTTGATCAATTCCAACGAAATTAGAATTAAAAACACCAGGGGACAAGGGTAAAATATCCATCTTTGGAAAATCTTTCTCCACCCCTTGACAAATGCATCCTCTGAAAGTGCCTAAAATTCTCAAATTCTTTGCGCGCATTTCTCGTTGGCGGTAGGACAATTTCCTCTATAAATTGCACATTTTAGGGAGTTTTCATCAATTCCGACGAAATTAGAATTAAAAACACAAAAATATTTTGCGCGCTTGGCGCGCATTTTTTAGGGCTATTTAAACACATAATAGTCCCAAATTCAAGAAAGACAAATTTAAGATAGATCATTTTAACCTAAAAGAAGGGCCTCAATGTGTATAGATGGTGAAAGAATATGTTTGTAATAAATAAAACCATGATGAAAATGCTTATATTTAGTTTCAAACACACGTGTGTGGCCTATATTATAAATAAGATAAGCCCTATGTCGTATTGTTTTCTATATGGGGAATGGGGTGGGGTGGGTATGGTAAATTACTAACCGGGAAATGAGGATTGTATGTTATTGTTGTTGTTGTTATTGTTATTATTATTATTATTATTATTATTATTATTATTATTATTATTATTATTATTA